TCTCTAGGGTTTTATTTATTTATTTATTTTTTCTTTTTGCGGTACGCGGGCCTCTCACTGTTGCGGCCTCTCCCGCGGCAGAGCACAGGCTCCGGACGCGCAGGCTCAGCGACCGTAGCCCACGGGCGCAGCCGCTCCGCGGCATGTGGGATCTTCCCGGACCTGGGCACGAACTTGTGTCCCCTGCATCGGCAGGCGGACTCTCAACCACTGCGCCACCAGGGAAGCCCCTGGCCCTTTTTTTTTATTTGACACATCGGTAGGGAAAACAGCTTAGTAAGATAAATCTAGAAAAATGGAGAGAGAGGAGAGGAAGCGGCAGTGGGAAAGGCAGGAACTCTTCCCAAGTCTACAGCACCCGGCCGGGAATAAGGCGCGCTTTAGGCGCCTGCAGAGCCGGGTGCCTTAAGGTGAGCAGCAGCCCAGAACAGCAAATATTGCATGCTCCAGGAGCTGACCGTGCAGCACAGGCATGGCTGGATACATTAAGCACTTGGCAAGTATCTATATTTGAACTCTGACGTGGGTTCATTACTAAATAAAGTCCTTGTAGGTTTCTCAAGAGGCACGCATGCATCTGAGCACCGGGACTGCTTTGCAAACCTAACTGCAAACTACAGGTCTCAGAATGCTGGGTGGGACCTAATTTCAAAAACCCAGTGCAAACAGCCTCCACGCCAATCATTTCGTCTTAACCACTAGCTGGATTCGAGGATTCTGCGCGCGAATGTAACAAAATCAGATAGTCCCATCCATTCCACCAACTTCTAGAAGGGAGAACCTTGCTCAGAGCCCAGTGCAAGATTAACTTCGCTTTAGCGCGCTTTGTTTTCTCAGGGCTCGTGCTTTACCCAGCTGTATCTCTCCGCCTTTTCCTCTGGGGAAGCAAGGAACACCGCGACACTGCCGGGTTGCGGAACATCGAGGGTTGGGCGGAAGAATATTATCCAAACACTTCACAAGCTCCAGGAGCTAGTGTGAAGTCTTGCCCTCCGCCCGCAAACTGCTTTCGCAGTCCAGCACAGCCCCTTCCTCCAATCATACACTTCGTACAAGTTGGAAGCAGTCAGTTAAACGAGTCACTGTTCGCCGAACAAACGTGCCCACTACCAGCACCACTCACAGGCACTCGCCCTATTTTTTTTACACACCCTGGCCGCGAGCGTGCCCCTAAAAGAGTCCCACCGACCCCCACTAGAGGCAATGTGAATTCTTGTAGGGGGCGTTTAACCAACGCGAGCGCGTATTCTTTGAACCCGCGGAAGCAACATACCCCTCTATATAAGGCGCGCAAGCTCCAGCCTCGGCGCCAGAAGAGGTCCCGGCGCCAGAAGAGCAACCCACGAGGTAGTTGCCACTGCCCCAGCGTGGAGTCTGCTGAAGCGCAAGCCTTCATCGACAGCAATCAAGGCATGGCGTGCAGCCACCGTGACACCGGCTACCGCAGCCTGGGGGTCGACGAGGACGAGGAAGAACAGCATAGTTAGTGTCTAGATGGGGACAGGTGCTTTGGCAAATTCCAGAAAAGGAACTTTCCCTGGGAAGGGCAGGTGGACCGGACGCTGCGCGGCAGCGGCCGTCCTGCAGCCCGCGCACCGTGGGCCCTCTCGCCCTGGTCTCTCCCCTTTGCTTTTCTCTTTTCCCAGATGCGGAGCCTACCTTGACCTCGGAGACTGTAACCGGAGGAGAGAAGGAGGTTACGCTGTCCGAACCTGAGCCCGGAGAAGCAGCAGCAGCAGGCTACGTTGATGTGGTCGGTCCCAACTTCTTGGACGAAAACCGTGAGGGCGGCGGCGGCGGTCTTGAGCCCCCGCAGCAGCAGGAGGAGCTGGCCCCCCCGGCCGCTGAGGGGCCACAGATCGTACCGAGAAATCTGCGCCGCAGCCGTACGGCATTCACCATCTTGCAGCGGCGGGAGCTGGAGAGAGCTTTCCAGCGCACTCGTTACCCCGACGTGTTCGAGCGGTAAGCGGCTGGCTCCGGAGACACCTAGTTCTCCAGGAGCCCGCGCTCATCCCAGGGCGCCTTAGGCTCTTTCCCAGGACCCTCCCCCTCCTCTCCTGGGCCAAAAGCTACTTAGGAGGCTCGAGGGCGCCGGGTCCGCCCTAGCTCTCTGGGCGTGGTACAATGCCTATAGAGTTTGCGGGGGTGCAAGACAGGAGCGGACCTCGGGTGGAGAAAGGAAGGCAGTGCCGATTAATCCTGCTTTAATTTAAAATCTTGGTAATTTGTCCATCATGGAGTTTTGCATTCATTTTTACATTTCGAAAATTGCATTAAAATATGTATCGTAATTACTCAGCTTTTTCGCGCCGTTTAAATTTTGCTCACGAGGCGAGCACCTCATTGGCCTCACCCTAGTCTTGGCCCTGCCTCGTGGAGCGGTGTTTCCAGGCGACAGAGTTTCGACCCTTAGAAAGCCAGTGACATTCCCTTCGCTTACCTTTCCCGGAGACCTTGGGGTACAGACAAGGGGAAGGCCTGTTCTGGCCCGGTAGCAATGGGGGACAAGGACAAATAGGTGTGAGGTTTAGGGGCGCCCTTAAAGGTTCCATTGTATTCAATCTTCGCCCGCTAAAGAGCAAAAAGAATTTCCCCTGATCGCTTGGCCAACGTGGTTTGAAGTTTCTCCTTGAGAGTTTACCGCTTCCTTTTACAATAAACAGAAATACTCTAGTTCAGAACGCCGCTTTTTTGGTATTTTGGCGTTTTATTTATTTATTTATTTAATTTATTTATTTTTAACATCTTCTTTGGAGTATAATTGCTTTACAATACTGTGTTAGTTTCCCACAAACGGAAAAATTGAGTCATATTCAACTAACAGATACGCTATCAGGAATTTTAATATGTATTCCCTTTTAATATTTTATTTAACAGATGAGTTTTCCATAGGAAAACCCTCCCTAAAGTAAACCTCAAGCTGTATTACAGAAAACTGCGGGGAGGGGTATAGAAATGTAAATGATATATTTTATCCACAACTCCAAATACTGAACATTTGCACTTTTCACCCCCTCAGAGAGGTGATTGCAAGACGCTTGAATTTGCCTGAAGCCATAGTGCAGGTCAGTAAATCTTAATTTTAAAATTGGCAGGACAGCCATTCTAAAACATGCTTTAGGTTTTGTCCTGGAAACTCTCAAGTTGGTGTGTTTTGTTGTCTTTTCTGTGTTTAGCAAATAACTTTTGAACAATGGGCGCTTTGGGGGTGGGAAATAGGACAAGTAAGTTCAAGCTTATGGAAATTGTACTTTACCAGAGAGAATTCGATTTCCTAAAGGGAAAAATATAAAACACACACGTCTCTTCTCTCTTTATACACACACACACAATTTATTTTCCAATAAATAAAGTTCATCTCCCTCTAACACTGGCATCCTTTAGGAAGGATGTTAGTACTCCCTAAAAGAATATTTCTATGTGGAATTTATTGGGGCTCAGTCTCACCTGGGAAGTATTCAAATGAATACACTGAAGAGCTAGGTTATAAGAAAGTTCAACTGTACTGAATTATTTAAAATACTTAAAACCAGGCATAAGCTCTTGGCTAAATGAGTGAACATATAAATATTTAGACATTGGGGTGAGAGAGTAATTCAAACACAGAACATAGTACATGAGTAACTAATACACATTTAGTCAAACTGAAACTGATGCCTTGGGGGTGGCTAAAAAGTCCAAGTCTCAGTGCCTAATCCTCCTGCTGCTGTTTTTAAGTGTTTTGCAAATCAGTGTAGAGAGTGGCAGTCTTAAATTCTAATTTTTTTGGAAGACTTTGATGTCAGCCTGAAGACATTGCTAAAATATTGCAGTTATGGTGGTAATGGGAAAAGGTTTGTAAGCTTTGGAAAATTATCCTCAAAAAATGAATCCAAAAAAGAGAAGAAAGAATAATTTTGAATAAAGTTCCATTGACCTAAGAAGGAGTGAAAGGTTAGAGAAGAATCGTATATATTCAAATATATGCATTGCAGGTGACATACAAATTCAACTTTATGAAACTACTAAATGAATAAGTGAATATTCTCTTGAAGAATTTTTAACATCTAAGATTTTTTTATCCTTTTTGGTGGTATTGTTTTGAAAAGGTGGGTTTCCGGAATTTGATTGGTTGTGAGGGTGATCTCACTTCAGGCCAGATTCTCACCTGTGCTAATTTAAAATACTTTTTCATTTATTCAGGCAGTGATTACAAATTTGTAGATCTTGGAATCAAAAAGTGACTATCTGAGTTCATAGAACACCATAGTTACATCAAAGAAGTATTTTCCCCCCTCAATATAAATATATAAATAAATGAATATACATATATATACATATATATATATATGTATATATATGTATATATATATCTCAGATGGCTTACTTGTTTTGCCCCAGAGCACATGCATGAGTACAGTAATGGAAACATACTGCCCATCTGTCTGTGGTATGCAGAAAAGCAGGCCACTGGATGGTGGCATCCTAATGCCACAGGCTGGACCAACAGTCAGGCTTGGTCTCAGGACAAGTCTCAGACAGGCAAGGTAAACCCAGAGGAAAAGAAAAACAAGGTTTGCTGAATTGCTTTTCCTCATGCCTTGGTTTACATAGTCCTCTTAATGGATTTCTGAAGGGAAAATGAGCCAGAAGACAGAAGTAAGGAAAAAGGCAGTGTTCTCATAAATTTCCAAACACTACAGCATGAATTTCCCCAAGAAACTTAATAGATGCTTCTCCCACCCATCTTGTGCAAATATATATAGTAGATCTCTTTTATGAAACCAGTATTGGGAATATGGACCTAATATTGGCCCATACCAAAATTTGCCATACATGGGCTTTTGGTTATGTTTAGGGAGATTAGACCACAGGTACATTTGAATCCCTCGAAAATGAGCTCTGTTACAGTGGGCTTCTTCAGACTATATATCCATGTAGTAGAAGGACACCAAATCCTAAAATGGGAGAGACAGAAGGTGGCTTCGGGGCCTCCCTGGTGGCGCAGTGGTTGAGAGTCCGCCTGCCGATGCAGGGGATACAGGTTCTTGCCCCGGTCCGGGAAAATCCCACATGCCGCGGAGCGGCTGGGCCCGTGAGCCATAGCCGCTGAGCTTGCGCGTCCGACAACGGGAGAGGCCACGACAGTGAGAAGCCCACGTATCACAAAAAAAGAAAAAAAAAGAAGGTGGCTTCGGGCAGGCAGAGAGAAGAGACCATTTGTCTCCCTTAAAACCTGCCATTTGGGCACGTCCAAAAGGACGTAAATACAATGTAAACCCCATCAACTAGTACACTAAGAGGACACTAAAGTCTAATTGATAGCTTGTTTGTTTGTTTGTTAATAGTTGGCAAGCATTTAGGGAGGAGCCTCTTTTGTGAGGCTTCCTGTCCCCACAGGATTGAACATAATTGGACCTTCCTGCCTTAGGAATGAGTGATGGGATTGGGGTCTCCTGGTTAAGGAGTGAAGCTGGCAGGGCCTTGGGTACCGTAACACTCTGGGTAACAGTGGCTCCTGTCCAGCATCCTGAAACTGAAGCTGGGACCGAATGAGCTGACCTTGTACTGAGCTCAGAAAGGTTTGGAGGGTAGGGCAAATTGGAGAATACAAAATTGACAGTGATGACAATAGGGTGCCCAATATCTTATCTGGGGAAAAGGATTTTGGGTTTAGTGAATTTGGATTTAGTTAAGCTAAACTTTCCTTAACACTAACAGCTGAAATATCAAGGCAGTGTCCAGGGCTTCAGCACCTCTCATGTCCCAGCAAGACAAGCCACAAAGTCCCTGGGACCCCCATGATCAGGCCTCCATTGACATACCATCTGTTTTAAGTCTTACGAGGTTTCAGAGAAAGAATGATCTGTTAAACATCATTGAAGGAAACCTTCTGTCTAAAAGTGCACCATGCCCCTATGGATTAGTTACTTCAGACTGAAGATGGGCTTTGCAAATAGGGTATGGTTCCCCTCGGTATGACTTTAATTGGACCCATCTTTATCCCACACTCAGCTTCCCTCACAACCATGATGACACGACTCCTGGTGAGAAGGGGGTGGAGGCAGCTGGACAGTGATAGTCCAACAGCAGGGACCTGGTGCAATTCATCAGTTAGGCCTGCATCCAGGACTTGGAAAAACCCCATTAAGGAATATTAAAAATGAGAGACAAATCAATGTGCCAAAGTCTGGAGTAGGCTTGGTTCACTAAGGGTTAGCTGAGGGAGGTGTGCTGTTTGCTTTCCTAAGATATTTTAGCAATAAGGGAATAGCTTCTCCTGCTGCAGTGTAAAATCTCAATGGCAGACTTGCATGGTGTGTGTTTTCTATTATGATATTAACTGTTCAATACACTAAACCAATCTCTTTTTCCCTCTGATTGAAGGTTTGGTTTCAGAACAGAAGGGCCAAGTGGAGAAGACAACAGAGGGCACTGATGTTCAGAAATCTGATCCCCATTGCCTTGCACCCCCATATGGGGATAACCTTTAATGGGCCCTATCAGGCAGTCCCTGTTATAAGGCCTGCATGGAGATGTGTTCCTGCAGTGCCACTTGCACCACCTGTGCTACCCGGGCCACCACTTCTGCCACCCAGGCCACCACCTCTGCCACCCGAGCCACCACCTCTGCCACCCGGGCCACCACCTCTGCCACCCGGGCCACCACCTCTGCCACCCGGGCCACCACCTCTGCCACCCGGGCCACCACCTCTGCCACCCGGGCCACCACCTCTGCCACCCGGGCCACCACCTCTGCCACCCGGGCCACCACCTCTGCCACCCGGGCCACCACCTCTGCCACCCGGGCCACCCGGGATGCCTTTGCCACCCCTACCACCTGTGCCTCCCTTTGCTGTGGCCCCTGTAGGTATTGCATGGGGCCCTGTCATCAACGGTCATTTCACAGGTCCCATTTTCTGAATATGGTCTTCATGACAGTTATTCTAATGTATCTTTCTGCCAGATAGAAGTTGTTCACAGCACATCAAAAGTAATTCATCAGAATCCTGTTAGATGAATAAATGCACAAAATCAGTGCCTGTTGTTTTTGGAGAGCACATTGTCTTTTCAATAAAGATGCAAGTTAGCAATATATTGATTTTTGCTGTCAAATGGACTAAGTTGGGTATGCATGGGAATGGCTAAGGCAATGCAATTCAAACAGAATGTCGAAGAAGCTTCCTTTCATAATGTGATAGCTCTGAGTCACCATAATAGGTAACAGAGTCCTCCCAGTGCCTGTAGCAGGTTTACACTGACCACACGTTCTCCTCCCCCCATCCCCATCTGTACCCTGACCCGTTGGGAGCACATACATGTGCAAGGTGGGAAGGGATGACCCTCTGCTGAGAGTACAGTGTGTTTCCAGGCAGGGACATGTTCTATTCAAGGAGCTCAACAGCCATGGACTCTAAGGGAATCTTTCCAAGAGGCTGCTCACAGGGCTGT